CTTCTTTTTCTGATTCTTTTAGGTGTAAGGTTAGATTGTTTACTTGAGATTTTTCTTGTTTCCTGAGGTAGGCTGTATTGCTATAAACTTCCCTCTTAGAACTGCTTTTGCTACATCTCATAGATTTTAAAACATTGCGTTTCCATTTTCATTTGTCTCCAGGTATTTTTGTTTTTTGTTTTTTGCTGAGGAAGATTCACTCTGACCTAACATCCACTGCCAGTCTTCCTCTTTTTGTATGTGAGCTGCCACCACAGCAAGGCCACTGACAGACGAGTAGTGTAGGTCCACGCCTGGGAATGAAACCCAGGACACCAAAGCAGAGTGTGCTGAACTTAACCACCAGGCCACTGGGGCTGGCCCTGTCTCAAGGTATTTTTTGATTTCCTTTTTGATTTCTTCATTGACCCATTGGTTGGTTAGTAGCATGTTGTTTAGCCTCCACATGGTTATGATTTTTCTAGTTTTCTTTTTGTAATTGATTTCTAGTTTTATACTGTTATGTTATACTGTTATGGTTGGAAAAGATGCTTGATATGATTTCAATCTTCTTAAATTTATTGAGACTTGTTTTGTGGCCTAACATGTGATCTAGCTTGGAACAATGTTCCATGTGCACTTGAAAAGAATTTGTATTCTGCTGTTTTTGGATTGAATGTTCTGTATATATCTATTAAGTCCATCTGGTCTAATGTGTCATTTAAGGCCAGTGCTTCCTTGTTGATTTTCTGTCTGGATGATCAATCCATTGATGTAAGTGGGTGTTAAAGTCCCCGCTTATTATTGTATTACCATCAATTTCTCCCTTTAGGTCTGTTAATATTTGCTTTATGTGTGTAGGTGCTCCTGTGTTGGATGCCTGAACATTTACAAGTGTTATATCCTCTTGTTGGATTGTTCTCTTTATCATTAAGTAATCCCCTTTTTTGTCTCTTGTTGCAGTCTTTGTTTTAAAGTCAATTTTGTCTGATATAAGTATTGCTACCCCAGATTTCTTTTTGTTTCCATTTATATGTTTTGTATGTTTTCCATCCCTTCACTTTCAGTCTGTGTATCTTTAGATGTGAAGTGAGTCTCTTGTAGGCAGCACATAGATGGGTCTTGTTTTTTGTTATCTATTCAGCCACCCTATGTCTTTTGACTGGGACATTTAGTCCATTTACATTTAAAGTAATTATTGATAGGTGTGTACTTATTGCCATTTTAAAAATTGTTTTCAGGTTGTTTTTGTAGTTCTTCTTTTCTTACTCTTTATCCTTGTGATTTGATGACTTTAGTGTTATGTTTGTACTCCTTTCACTTTATTTTTTGTGTATCTATTATAGGTTTTTGGTTTGTGGTTACCAAAAGGTTTATATCTAAGAACCTATATATATAGCAGTCTATTTTAAGTTGATGGTCTCTTAAGTTTGAGTGCATTCTAAAAGCACTAATTTTGACTCACAACCACATTTTATGTTTTTGATGTCATATTTTACATCTTTTTATTTTGTATATCCCTTAACTAATTATTATAGATATACATGATTTTACTACTTTTGTCTTTCAACCTTCAAACTAGCAATATAAATGGTTGATCCACTACCTTTACAATATATTTGCCATAACCAGTGAGATTTTTTTCTTTCATAATTTTCTTATTTCTAGTTATGGTTTTTTTTTTTTTTCTGTTTAAAGAAGGTTCTTTAACATTTCTTATAAGGCTGGTTTAGTGGCTTGTCTGGGAAACACTTAGTATCTCCTTCACCTCCGAATGATAATCTTGCTGGGGAGAGTATTCTTATTTGTAAGCTTTTTCCTTTCAGCACTTTGAATGTATTGTGCCACCCCCTTCTTGCCTGTAAAGTTTTTGCTGAAAAATCAGCTGATGGTTTTATGGGTGAGGTTCCTTTGTATGTAACTAATTGTTTATCTTTTGCTGCTTTTAAGATTCTCTCTTTATCTTTAACTTTTGACATTTTAATTATAACATGTCTTGGTGTGGGTCTCTTTGGGTTCATCTTATTTGGGACTCTCTGTGCTTTCAGGATTTGGATGTCTGTTTCCTTTGTCAGGTGGGGGAACTTTTCAGCCATAATTTCTTCAAATAGGTTTTCTCTCCCTTTCTCTCTCTCTTCTCCTTCTGGGACCCCTATAATGTGAATGTTAGTATGCTTGATATTCTCCCAGAAGTCCCTTAATCTATCATAATTTTTTGAAATTCTTTTTTCTTTTTGCTGTTCCAATTGGGTGATTTCTACTACCCTGTCTTCCAGATAGCTGATCTGTTCTTCTGCTTCATCCTCATCTAATCTGCTGTTGATTCCCTCTAGTGTATTTTTCATTTCAGTATTGTATTCTTCAGCTCCGATTTGCTCTTTTTTATATTTTCTAACTCTTTGTTGAAGTTCTCACTATGTGCATCCATTCTTCTCCCGAGTTCAGTGAGCATCTTTTTGACCATTACTTTGACCTCTTTATCTGGTAGATTGCTTATTTCCATTTGTTTAGTTCTCTTTCTGAGGTTTTTGTCTTGTTCTCTCACTTGGAACATATTCTTTTGTCTCCTTATTTTGCTTACCTCTCTGTTTCTTTCTATATTAGGTAGATCAGCTATCTCTCCTAGTCTTGAAGGGATGGGCTTATGTAGAAGGTGTCCTATGGGACCTAGTAGTGCAATCCCTCCTGGCCTGGTCACCAAATCCAGGTGCTCCAGGTGTGTTCTCTGTGCAGGCTGTGTGTGCCTGCCTGTTGTGCCTGGGCTACAATTCCTGCTGGCATGCTGGTGTGCAGCACTGGCCCCCTGGGGCAGGAACCACTTTGGAGGAGTGTTGGCTGGGGCCAGGCCACAGGGAACACTGGGATTGGGTAAGTAGTGCTAGCAAGGTAGATGGAGAGGGTCAGAAATGGCTCCTGCCAAGGCTAGGCCAGCTAGGTAAAAGGAGAGTGAAAAAATGGAGCTCATTTGCACTTCTGTATCTGGAGAAATTTCCAACAGATCCCTGCCCCTCTGGCACATGCTCTAAAATTAGTCAATCAATTTCCTTCACATATAACCCAGACACTTTTCAAACTACTGCCTGTGCATTAGGACTCAGAGTGAATGAGTTTGTGCACACCTCCTTTAAGAGTAGAGTTTTGGTTTCCTATAGCCCTCCTGCTCTTCCTGACATAACCTGGTTTTCAAAGTTAGACATTATGGAGACTCCTCTTCCTGGTGCAAGTCCCCCTGGTTGGGGAGCCCAGTTTGGTTCTTGAGCCCCTCGCTCATCTAGGTGGACCTCCACAGTTGTGATATCCCTTCTGCTTGTGGATTGTGGCACTGAGGTTGTGGGTTCTGACTAAACTGCGTCTCTGCCCCTAATACCTGTCTCAATGTGGCTTTTTCTTTATATCCTTAGTTGTGGAAAATCTGTTCATCTTCAGGTCATTCTCAGTAATAATTGTTCTATATGTAGTTGTAGTTTTGGTGTGTATGTGGGAGGAGGTTAGCTAAAGATTTTCCTACACTGCCATCTTGATCTAATCCTGGTTTGATTGCTATTGATTAGATATCATCAGTAAATCAACTTCCCCTAGCAATTCTATTTGCCTATTTATCAGTTTACCCAGTCTTTGACTTCACTAAGCTGAAATTTAATTTGCTGTTGGTTTATATACTTTAAAATTTAAATGAGTGAGGTTTTACTCTATTGTTTATCAGTAAGAACTTATTTGGTGTGATTACATGGATTACTCGTTGTAAGAGACTCATAGAGATAAATATCAATAAAGAAGTATTTCACTTTCTTGCCTTTGAATTAAAAATCAAAGTTGAGTATCTAACATTAAAAGTTCAACTAGTTTAACAGTAGCCGATTTTTCTTTTTAGTATTTTCATGAGTTTCACATGTATTATCTCATTATAGTCTCAAATTAAAAAAACAACTTAAGAGGGCAAGGTAATATTATCATCATTACAGATGAGGAGAGTCAAACTTGAGATTTTGTCTAAGGTTTGCAGAATCTAGGACAAATGTATTGTTTCATTGCCCTCCTCTTAATTGACTCACAGTTTGACAGGCATGTTCTATAGGAGAGGATATACTTTTAAGCCTATTGGTTCCCATTGGTAAAGTAGGATTCTCTTGTCCTGAAGCCTTAATTGGTCAGGAAGCAACCATCTGCAGAAGGAATCTTTTATATTTGATCTCTTCTTGAACAACAAAAAAAGAGATGGTGAGGGGCTGAGAGATTCTCAGGTAGAAAAGGACTCTGAATTTTTAAAATTCAACACATTGAGGTTATCTTGCTCAACCTATCCCTAGAACTACTTTCACACCTTCTGTAAATCTTTCCACTACAAAATCCAGGAAACTTATTTACAACAAAAATTAGTGGCAATTAAATGGAGGGGACTTCAGAAGAACTTAACTTCTTTTGGATCAAAGAACCCTTTGAGAATCTGCTGAAAGTTATGGATTCTTTTTCCAGAAAATGCATTATACATATACCTGTTGGATTTCCTTAAAGTTTCCAACTTTATAAGGTATTGGGAACACAAGAAATATTTTCCAACCTAGATGTTATTTAAGAGAGTTTTGAACAAGACATTTCAGAAGATGCCTCTTCCATCTAATTTGAACATAAAACCAGTTCCTGCTATCTCAAACCACAATTATGAGTCAAGAAAGAAAGAAACATCTTCATCTTTGACAGTTTTAAACCCATGAAGTTAATATGTAGAGATTTTACATCCTGGGAATGTGCTATGTGCTATGAAACACTTGTTTCTAAGTTTAATTTGTTGGTCAAAGGATGAGTAGTTTTTAACATCTCTTGGCAAAAATAGAAAGAATTGTGAATTATTTGCAACATCAGATGGTTTCATTTCATTTTATAGCATTTCCAGTTAAAAATGAATTTCATCTGTGAGATATAGGAAGTTTGTAAGGCAACCATTTTTTTTTTTTTGCAGTTAAAATAGATTCACTTTCATAATTGCAATCTTTCAGAAAATAAGATTTTCAAACAGCTCTTACCTCATCAGAACCAGATCCAAAAATCAGCAAGTCGAAAGGAATTGCTGCAACCATGTCAATCAGGAACCAGCCTTTGAAGTAGTGTATTGCTATTTTGGCGGGATCACTTACCACTTCTTCATTCTGATTTACGTATGTTGTTCTGAAGTTTATTAGAATATCTATGATAAACATAATATCCACAATCAAGTCTACCACATTCAAAGGGCTACAGGAATAGCCACATTCTCGTCTTTTCTGTTCTTCTCTGTCATTGAGGAGAAAGGCTGCAGAGTAGGGAGTGAAGATAGCAGTGTATATGACCAACAGCAGAATAAGCCAATCCCAGACTGCCTTGAAAGGACTGTAGTGTAATATTGTAAACTTGTTGATGCGTGGCGTCTGCAGTTTATATTCGGGCAGGACATCTGCTCCTAAAGAGAGAACCTGCATACAGAAAAGAAAATCATATACTACATAAAAATGCCATTCATTAATTTCCAAACTTATAAAAATATTAAGGTAATTATACAGTAAAATCTATTAGAAAGGATTCATGTAATTGTGAAAGTATGTGTGAAAAACACATATATTCAAAAGAACCCATATAAACCCTCACTATGCAATAATATATTTGTCCCCAGAAAATCTTAGTGGTATTTCTTGATAAATATGGTTTTCACTGAAAAATAGTGAATGACACTGAGATACCAAGGAATGGTTACTAGTTCCTTTGCAACATGCTACAGCTAAGAAATAAAAATACATAGCTCTTTTTAGAAAATCATAAAATCAGTTTGATACATGAGTAACTAAGTTTTCAAACCTATGAAAGGATTGGCTGTAATGAATAGAAGCAATCTACTTGGATCCATGGTCATATTTAATTTACATATATTTAATTTATAATTAAACCTAGATGAATTAAACCCAACTCATTCAAATCTTTAATTAAAATTTTCCCACCTGCAATCTGTTTTTAACATTAGAAAAAGAGGCACAAGAGATTAAAATAAACACAAAGGAACCTTTTTGCTAAAAGCTTGAGAGAGTATTTTATATTCTGGGAGAACTATACTTTCACCCAAACTCCTCCAATACATTTTGAGAATTGTGAAGAGAGAATGGTGCAAGGAGATTTTCAGAATATTGATCTGGGAATGTTGCAAGATTTTTAGACACCGAGGAATACTTAAACTCTAAGATTTATTCTACTTAATAAGGCATTGGGTGGACTAAAATAGTTCATCTTTTAGAATCTTAGTTTATCTGAAAAAAGAACTGAACATTGTTACCCTACCCAGTAGCAAAGTTCACGAGCTTGTGATTTTAGACCAAGTTTCAAGAACAAAGGTCAAAACAGAAATGTCATCTAGGTACCCAGAAAATGTAATTAGCCTTAACATACAGGTTTTAAAGAAACATAAATTTTTGATGGCTGCACAAATGACACATAAAGACATCTTTTTCAGGGAGTGATGGGCTATAATCTTTTATTATGAATATCTCACATATATGTAATGTCCTTATTTCAAAGTTAATTTCACTGAGTAAATTTTTAGATTAGATTCTTCTAAACACAGCTAATACATTACCATCTTTGCATCAGAGATCTCAGGTAATCCCTCCTTGGCTAGTCAAAGAGTGTTATTTCTACATTCTTGGTAATTCTATCCATTTACCCTGATTATAACAATAAATTATCTCAGGCAAGTTTTAATTTTAAATCTTATTTTCGTTATCACATCTCAATTTTTTTTTCACTGATAAAGAGTTATGATTTCTATTTTAAAAAGAACTTGAGAAGTTAAATAACAAATCCAAATGAGATACAATATGACTTTTAAATATAAGAAAAGAATTCAGTTAAAATAGGCAAAGCTGTTTTTAGATAACAGCTAAACTGATTTAACTAGCTTTAAAGAAAATAATAAAGAACCTAACCATTTTTTCAGCCCAGAGTAAATTTGAACTACCAGTATATGGAGGAAACAGGGCTTTACTTGAAGCTATTATGAGAAATGACAAGAATTAATTATTAGTAAAAGAGCAATCTGGAAAATAAAGTGATTTCACTATTTAAGAAATACTAAAAATCCTCAGAATCCGAGATCTATATCTAAATCTATATCCATATCTATATCTATATCTAACTTCCAAAATCCAAACAGGAATAATATTTGGATAATTTATCAATTGATAAGTGCAGACTGATAGAACCTGGATCCTGTTATGCTTAGTACAGAAAACCAGTGTATGACATTTTGGTCTGGAAAGAGTGGATAATCTCAAGTTGTCATTATGTAATGTCCCTTTCTCATAAGCCAAGGACTACTCAGAATGTAGAAAATAAAATCCAAAACCTTATTTTGGCTTTTAAAATCATCTAAAATATGGACCCATTTTATCTTTCCAGTTCCTTCTCCCATTAGATTCCTCTATGCACACAGTGTACTCTGGCAAGACATAACTAAAATTTTTGAGCTGCTGAGATCTTCCCAAATCCCTAAATTCACAAATTTCTCACATAAAAAAAGAGTATACAGTTATCCAAAGAGAACAACAACCACAAAAAGATTATTTTTACAGATAGGGATATCTGTCTGAGCATCATGCTCCCTGCTTAATTGACATACTTCTGATGCCAGCCTCCCACATGGAGCAATTTGAATCCTTGTTTTAGCAGAAATATAAGTTAGAATGCGTACAGCAACTTGGAACTTCACCTGAGAAGTAAAAACTGTGGATGAAACTCTTTCCATCCCACATATGCAGACATTCATTTCATATGCAGACACCCATTTAACAGTTAGATGACTACTGTGCTAAGAGCTGGAGACTGAAAAATTGGGATGACACTGTCCCTGACATCACGGAGTTTATGGTCTATTGGGAGAGACAGACGTGCAGGAAAATGGAAGCCCTGCTGAGATCCACTTGACTCAGTTCCTGGGGTTGGTGGTGGTGCTGATGGGCGGTGGGGTGGTCTCCTTAGAGGACTTTTGGGAAAAAATGGCGCTTGAACTGAGACTTTGAGTAGAGGTAGAAAAGAATGCAGCTGGGGCTGAGGAAGTTAGAAAGGGAAGAATATTACAGGTAGAGGGAACAGAATAAACAAAAGTAGGGAGGCACGAAATAATGTGTTGTGTGTTAAGGAATTAGAAGCTGCTTTATATTGCTGATGCATAAAACCCAAGAGAAGTGGTGGAGGACGGCAGTGGAGAGGACAATGACAGGCTGTGGAAGATCTAATGTGACACGATAGGGAACTCAGGCTTTCTCCTTTAGGTCAGGGTTTCTCACACTTGAACAAAATACAGGTTTCCTTTAAGGGAAAGACACTTATTGCAGAACCCCAATGATGATTTATATTATTTTTATTTATTACCTTAGGTAAATATGTACAAAAATAAAAATAGGTTAAAATGTCTTATGCATATATGTCTTAATATGACTTAGGGGTTGAATTGTGTACCCCGAAAAGATATGTTGAAGTCCTAACCCCAGTACCTGTGAATGTGAACTTATTTGGATATAGGGTCTTCGTAGATGTAATCAAGTAAAGATGAAGTCATAGTGGATCAGGATAGGCCTTGATGCAGTAACTGGTGTACTTATAAAAAGAGGGAAATTCAGGTACAGAGACACAAGGACACAGAGGGAGAATGTCATGTGACAATGGAGGCAGGTATGACTGCAAGCCAAGGAACACCAAGGATTGGTGGCAGCCACCAGAACCTAAAAAAGAAGCATGGAAGAGATCTTCTCTCAGAGTCTCCAGAAGGAACCAACCTTGCCAATACCTTGATTTTGTAGGTATTACCAATACCTTGATTTTGTCCCCAGAATTGTGAGAGAATAAATTCTGTTGTTTTAAGCCACCCATTTTGTGGTATTTGGTTACGGCAGTCCTAGAAAACTAATACAATACCAAAAACGAAAACAAATGAATTACAAAAGTATTTGTAAAACCAGCGAATTCAAACCATCATCACTAATTCAATATTTGGCATATCTGTAGGTCAAAAATGATTGCATTTTGGCTATTATGTGTGGTTTGATCTAATAGGGAAAATATTTTTCTGTATTCTAACCTCAATGCCTTTTTGTAAAAGTATGTTGTCAAAATAGTATTATAAACTTCAAAGACTTTATTACTATTTTAGGATAATCTAGTCTAATCTTTAATTCAAATTTTGCTCCTTCTAGGCTTTAAAAGCCAACTTAAACGGTGTTACTTGGTACTTTATAAAAGTTTTTATTTGAAGTTGAGTTTAGCTTTGGGGCATTATTGAATTCTACATTAAGTGATTATCTAATCAAATTAGCTCTGGAACTAGGATCAGAAAGGTAGTTAATTTATTATATACCTATTGATACCAAACCATTGAAATTGGGTATGTACAACAGTGGAGTGTGTTTTGATAATGCATTTATAGTAATTAGTATGGTACCAAATATTACAGTTTAAGTTCTTTCGACTTCTGCATGGCCATGCCTGTGTTATATGATCACTCGCTCATGAATATTACTAGCCAAAGGACTTCAAAATCTTTTATTTATACAGCATGCTTTAGCATCATGGGGCCTCATTGTAAATCCAAATGCAGTCATAGGCACTGAAGTCAGGTAGATGGCAGTACTCTATCATAAGGTGCCAGGAGAACTCACAGCCCTTTGAGAATATTCCTTTCCGCGGATTTTGGTTTGAGAATTGTTAAAAGTTACTAGGAGAGAAGTCAAAGTGGCCCAGTTTAGTTTTAGATAAATGCATCTGGGAATGGAATGGAGGAGAAACCAGAGGAGGCAGGACCAGAGGCTTAGAGATCAATTAGGACTTTGGTACTAAGAAAGATAGATAAGCGAGATCAGGAAAGCCTGTACTGGGAACAGGTGACAGAGATGGAAAGAAGGGACACATTTGAGAAATAAATGCTTCTCAGGGTGTAAGGATAAGGAGTGGGGAAACATTTATTTCTTTATGGTTCCAATAATGAGTCTTATTAGAGCCAGTCGTGGTAATATAAATCTCTGAAGGCTCAACCACATTTGGAAAATGGGAAAGAGCCCTAGACTTTAAATCTGAAGACCTGGGTTTGAATTCCAGATACGATTTTTCTTGGAAGTAATTTAATCTCTCTGGATCTCAGTTTTTTTTTTCATCTATGTGCTCGGGATAGTAATCTTTGTCCAAATTACCTATCTATACAGAGCTACCATACCACATCACATACTTTCTATAAAAGTAATTGATAAAATGGGAAATATTTACATAAAGTAATTTCATTATTGTTTAGAGTTCTAGGCTTAGTTGTTTAAATTCAGATTCAAACAAAACAACTATAACCAAAACATTTATGAACCAATTGGAGAAAGTTGAACACTGACTGGACATTGACAATATTAAAGAGTTGTTTCAGTTGTATACTCATTGGAATAAACTAAGCCAAAACACAGTGACTTAAAAACAATAATCATTTTATTATTCCTGATTCTATGGATGAGAAATTTAGGTAGGGCTTGGCTGGGCCATTCTGTTCCACACAGTGTCAACTGGGGTCACTCAGTGATTATCTGGTTGGTGGCTAAGCTTGTGTGGAGAATCCAGGAAGGCTTCACTCACATGTCCAGTACCTTGGTGGGGGTAGTTGAAAGTCTGGGCTCACTTAAGATGCTGGAACACCTGGGTCTTTCTATCTATCTATGTATCCGTAGATTTATATCTAGATCTACAGATATAGAAATAGATATATATCTTTAGATTATACTATATATCTATGTCTTTCTCTAGATATAGTTTCTATAAAAATGATATATAGTTTCTCCATATAATTTCTTTCCAGGAGCTTCTCCATATGGTTTCTTTAGCACTGTAGTAAGATGTTTTTTGTGGAGGTTCAGTACTCCCAAGAGAGAAGTGGAAACATCCAATCCTCATCAAGTCAAGGTCTGGAAGTAGTATAACATCATTTCTGCCATATTCTATTAGCCAAAGCAGTCAAAGCCCAGTCTAGATTCAAGAAAGTAGAGAAAGAATCTTTACCTTTTGATAGGGGAATGGCATGCGTGTAAAAGAAAAGAAATCTATTGTAGCCATCTTGGAGACAAGCTATCACAGGAATTATTGACGATTGTTATTTTTAGATGTGATAAAGATATTGTGGTTATGTTTTTAAACAATAGTCCTTACCTTTTAGGGGTAAATGGGGAAACAGTTATGGATGAAATGCTATAATTTTGGGGGCTTGCTTCAGCATAATCCAGAATAGGTGAAAGAGAAAAGTCTGTTTATATACAAAATTAGCTTTATGTTGATTTTTATTGAAACTGGGTGATGGGTAGACACTACTCTCTTTATTTTTATAACATGCTAAAATTTTCCATAATAAAAACTGAAAAAAAAAAGAATTCTAGAATCTCAGCAAGAAAGGTCTAAGATATTTGAAGGTATAATTTTTTCAATTATTTTATTGAGATCATTATGGTTTATATCATTATGTAATTTCAGGTGTACATTATTACTTATCAATTTCTGTATAGACTGCATAGTGCTTGAGGATACAATTTTTTGATGGAAAAAAGAACTGGCTCTACACACATCACAGGGGCTCACTCCTATCAGAATTGAGTTGATTTCTTATCAGGCAAGTTTAGATTCCTTTTTCTACAACAGAATGTTTACTTTGCTCCCTGCACACCTAATTCATATTATATTGACCTCCATTCAGCCACACAGACTGCACACAATGCCAGCTTTGCCCAACCTTGAACTGTTTGCTTTCATATTTCCATCAAATTGGTGGCTGGAACAATCAAGAAGATAGTCAGGCATGCTAAGTCTGCAGATGGTCATTTCTCTGAGTATACTTAGCTACATTGCTCAGCAAGTTAGATTAATATACGGCCGCTTTTCAGAGAATCATCAGGTTAGGCCTTTTATTGAAATACTTTTACTTTGTTAGCATTTCATATTCAAACTTCAAGTTTTCATTCTGGATTGACATAAGAAGTGTGTTTTTGCATTTTTTCCTCACAAAAATACCACTAAACACAATGTTTATGTTATTTAAGGTCATTTTTGTAAATATTTGCATTACATATCCCTTTTATAATTCATTTCTAGAAAACAATTGAGGAATCAAAAAGTTTCATCTGTTTATTTTAAAAAACATGACAGTAGAACAGACTATTATTATAGTCTCTTTTTGCTTTCTTGCAGAAAACTATATGAATTTAGAATTTCAGTACAATTATTTCTATTTCTCTTTACATTATTTTAATTGTTCTATTTCCATTTTAATAGTCAAAATACATGTATCTTTTATAATGTCACCTCATACTTCTTTGGAAATGGGATAAATGTATAAATAATAAGTCTCAAGTAAGTTAAAAGGAATCATGACAGAGCTTTAGAGCCATTCTGTTGGAAATAAAATATTAAATAAGTAAATATTTATTTTAAAAAGGTGAATAGGATTCTAAGGGGCCAATGATTAAAAAGAAAAAGGCTGCTACACAGTCTATTACGTTTCCTTAAAAGAGCCAACTTCTCCCACACATTTGGGAAATAACATACTTTAGAAAGATAAAACATGATTAATTGAACTATTATAAAGATTTTCTTTTAAGAGAGAAAGAAAAGAGGGGGGAAAAACCCTCACTGTATAAAAAAAGGGGAACTCCATGGTCTCCAAAAAGATGTTTCTATTTTCTCTTTCCTCAAACCACCAATTAACCGTACAGTTTAATACAGCCTACAATATAGTTATCCTTACCAAATACAGTTTTTCTTCTTGCCAGCACACTGCTATTTGTTTAACCTCTAACAGTTAAGTGTTGTATAAAACCAAAATCTTTATATGAAACTGCACTATTTATTCAATGAAGATCTACTGTGAAAATTTTGTGCGAACACCAGGATTAATAACCACTCTTCTCTTTTGAAAAGTGCAATAGGGAACTATTAAGCCTTCTAGAAGATTACACAGTAGTTTTGGCAGTTGTTAAACGCCATGCTGAGGTGTTGGTAGAGACTACTCATCTGTTATTTATCCTTTACTAGGGACTTGCAGTTAACTAATAGTATTTTTAACTATTGGGAAGGGTAGTCAGTAACCAAATGAATCAGATAGATTGTATAGCATCAGGAAAGATGTAAACTCCTCTGGCTTTTCAGCAGATGATTTGGGAAACACAGCAAAACCTGGCAATTATCATTGAAACAGGCAACCCCAATGATGATTACTCAGATATTTAAATTAAAAGATGGAAAAGATTCACACAATAAATCAAATCTCTCACATAAGAAGTTTTTTTTTGACAAAATATTAAAATTAGGTAGTAGAATCACTGCAGTATTCCGTATTCAAATAATTTTCCTTTATCTTTATTTAAAAGTTGCTCTAGGGGCCGGCTGGTGGCGCAAGTGGTTAAGTGCGCACACTCCGCTCAGGCGGCCCAGAGTTCGCTGGTTTGGATCCCGGGCGCACAGCGATGCACCACTTGTCAAGCCATGCTGTAGCGGCGTTCCACATAAAGTAGAGGAAGATGGGCATGGATGTTAGCCCAGGGCCAGTCTTCCTCAGCAAAAAAAAAAAGAGGAGGATTGCCAGATGTTAGTTCAGGGCTGATCTTCCTCACACACACAAAAAAATTGATCTAATTTAAGAAAAAATGGAATTTAGGAAAAGGAGTATTTAGCACACTAATTCATAAGTAAGCCTTTCACGTGTATTCCTCAAAAGTACAGATGACTGAAGAACAGGCTTAGAGATGGGAGAGGGAAATAAAGGGTTTGGCTGGGATAATTTGAATTAGACGTGCCAGGTGCCAATAGGAAGAGGTGCCTGGCAGACAGAAAGTTTGGGACAGAGCTCCCAACAGAGTTGGAGCTTGATATTTCATCCTGCAGAGGCAGTGGCTGAAGTTCTGGAAAGTGGATTCATCTGCCAAGAGAATGTAAAGAGACAGTAAATCCACTGGAAATAACTAAACTGTGGGATGGAGAAAAAAGGCAAGGCAGTATTCCTGGGGCTTAGCACAGTACCTGGAATATACATAGTAAGCACTCAAAATAGTGGTTGAATGGGCATGTTTGTAGCTTAAAAAAAGAGACAATGGAGATGGCAAAGCTGAAAATTCATGAGAAAAAGAATTCTAATAGAGACAGCTGCTGGAATCAAAATTTGTGGTTCTCTCTTACATGGAGTAGAGTTGTTCCTAGAACGTGTCTACCTAGCCAAGAACTATATAAGCAGCCCCATCCGTATCTAGGTATTGCCATGTGACTGATGAGTAGCACTTCTTGGCCAAGCCTCCAAGAAGCAGGTATGTCTTTCCCTGCTCTTTTTCTCCTTCCACTGCATAAAGTCGGATGCTTCCAAGGCCTCAGGTCCTTAAATCCTGTAAGATGGTGGAGCCTTCAAATGTAGGAACTCTGGGTCACCAAATTACCAAGAGAAAGAAAATCATTCCCTGACAAAAATGCCAGCTTCTGCTTTTGGTTGATCATGAAATATACTATTGGGATAAGCCACAGTGATACAGGATTCATTGGTTCCAGCAGCTGTCATTACCCTGATTAATACTTGGATCTTTGATAAGACAAAGACCTCAAATAGGCAGAAGAGAAACATCAAGTCCATAGCTTATCCCATTCCTTCCCCTGCTCTCCCTTGAGGTTTAGTTTAATAAAGTCACATAACTGGTGTTAACAATGCCATGTGTCAATGTGTAAAAGATCAATAGAGCTGCATCTAAGTCCAGCAAAATCATGTGAACTAGCTTACCCATCAGTTTGGTGACTTTTTCAAGGGTGGGGTGAAGAGAGATAAAGAAGCACAAAGGAATGGATATATTCATGCTTATTTTGCTTAATCAAGCTCTTTCTGCCCAAGTGTCCCCAGAACCACTACCACCAAACCAAATGTAAACAGAGAAGATGCTCCTTTGGAGAGTGATGTGCTTTCTCCAACACCTCCTTCCTTAGGCTGCCACTGCCACCACTGATACTTGGGAGAGGAGATGAGCTGCCCTCCTCAGTGTCCTCTGTCAGTCTATTTTGGTTCTTTTCTCCTTTTTTACTTGAAACTTGGTGGATGGGATAACACTGTGACTCCTGAGAGTGCCTGCTTAGCTCATCAAAGCTTTGTCTTGGAGAAAGAGGATGGTTAATACCAAGTATCTTTCATGTTATTTACCAGGACCAGTATTGAATTATGACATTCAATTCTCACAACAGTCATTTGAGATAAGCATTATTATCTCTATTTTTATAGAGGAGGAAACTGACTCAGAGAGGCTGAATAATTTACCTGAGGTCTCAGAGCCAACCTTGGTATTATTAGCCATTATATTCTCTAACTTTATTGAATGACTATTATTTACTGAAGTCTTGATGGGCATTATCTCATTTAAATGCTACAATTTTACAATGTAGGTGTTTTCTGTGGGTTGAATTGTGTCTCCCAAAAAGATATGCTGCAGTCCTAAGCCCCATACCTGTGAAAATGACCTTATTTGGAAACAGGATCTTTGCAGATGTAATCCAAATTAAGATGAGGTCATATTGGATTGAGGTGGGCCCTAATTCAATGTGACTGTTGTCCTATAAGAAGAGAGGAAGAGACATAGAGACAGACACACAGAAAGAAAGCCAAGTGATGATGGAGGCAGAGATTGGAGTGATGCGTCTATAAGCCAAAGAACACCAAGACTGCCAGCAACACAGAAGCTAAGAGAAAGGCATGGAATAGATTTTCCCCTAGAGTCTTCAGAGAGAAAACATGCCCCTCCTGACACCTTGATTTCAGACTTTTAGCCTCCAGAACCATGAGAGAATAAATATCTGCTGTTTTAAGGCACCTAGTTTGTGGTAATTGGTATGGCAACCCAGGAAATTAAGACAGTGCTATTGTTTATTCCACTCTACAGAGGTGAAAACCCAGGTTAGTTAACTTCCCAAGACTGTCTGGTCCCATAGGGCCTGTGTTCTTATCTACAGCAGCATACCAGTATTCAATTCATTTCTTTACAGGGATAAAAGCCTGTTTTTTCTTACTATAC